TGAGGTTCCCCGATCCTTCTAGAAACTCCAGCGCGCATGCTCCCAGCGTCGCGTGACTTCCGCTGTCGTAACATTAATATTCAAATCACAGAATTTAGTAAGATTGCCTACTGGTATCAAACTGACACTTATTATAATTCTAGCTACATATCTTGTTAAATTTATTGATTGTTTCACGTAACCTGCTACAATTGCAACTAATCATGTCGTCAGATAAAATTTACTTAATATTTTTTCTCTATATATTTACTAAAACTGGCCCAAAACAATCACATCAAATAGTTTAAGAACTAAAAATGGCCCAGACAGTCAACAGCCCAATATGATTCGGTACCACAGTCAAGGAAATTCAATCATTGATCCCAGACCAACACGACCCTGATTATATGTAGAAGTTTAACTCTGAATCTACCCAGTATATATATACATATATATATTACAAACAAACAATTAAAAAAAAATACAACTTGAACTGAACCAGACAAAGGTAGCCTGACTTACTTCTTGATTTGTTTTCTTTCAACGTTTTGTGGTAAGCTTGTTGTAAACATTGTAGCAAGGATTGTGGCCAAAGCTATGGTTACGAAATCCATCTTCCTCCACCCACAACCTGACAAAAAATGCTGAGGTGGCCTCACATCTGCTGAAACAAATCTTATCTTTTACTGTGAAGATGCATTATTTCTGCAGTTTGCGTCAGTTTTGTCGACAGAGATGGCTGAGGAAGCGACTTCATTAAAGCATATATGCAGTTGCAAGATGCCTAAGAGTAGCATATTCTTGAAATGTAATCGACATGGAAGTGATCATGATGGCAGTGCTATCGAAATGAAACTAAGGCGCAAAAGAGACCATCTTACAGAACTCGGACAATCATCATCAAAGAAGAGTTTGGCAAAATTCGAGCAAACACCTGCAGAAGCAAGATTCGGGAAAGAAACCGCGACAGACGGTGATGAGAGCAATAAAATGACAACAGTGCAAAATATGCCAATGGCAATAGTCAGAATCTATCGTTGATTCAATTACTGGATGTTATACAACTGTAATCCCTGAAAAAATCTGTATATAAGTAATTACCTTGAAAGCAAACACGATCGAAATCACCAAACTAGAAAGACAAAAGCAATTAGTTGTAAAGCAAGTGATTTGAAATTCGTTTCAGGTAGAATAAAAATCCAGAAACTCCAGCACTTTTGAACAGTTAGCCATTCTTTTTTAGGAGTAAAAAGGGTGTTCTTCAGGTGTAACACTCAGTAATAATCAAACAAAGCTACGCAACTTAGATAAGTCTACACAAACACTACAAGTGTTCACAGACAAGGACAGCTGTGTACCTATTTATTTATTAGAGACAAAATACAAAGATAAGAGAAAGAACAACAGTCGGGGGCACTTTTTGTATCAGCCTTTTGTTAATAACCATAGAAATACGAAGTAGTAATCTTGAACCTCATTTCACAAAGAATGATATTAACACATGACTCAACGATGAGATACATGATGACAAGAACCAGGAGCATCACGAATATCAAAGCAGGAGAAGGAGCAGCATCACGTTCAGTGAAAAAATGAACTAAAGGTCGTGACAACAAGTAGTAGTGGTAGGAATATACAGAAGAAGAGCAGTGCCATTTTGTCTTTTTCTTAGAGAAGAGCTAGAAAGCTAAATGAATGAGATTCATAATAATGAGAATGAGGAGTAGTACGTATAGCAGAGCAGGAGCTACATCACAGTGACATGAGCTAAAAGCTGCGACAAGAAGAAGAGTAATATTACAGTACGGTTTCACTCCCCTCCTTCTTAACTTGTCTCATGAGGGAGCCAGAATGTCACAGGGTAGAAACTTCTTATATAATCGTCCAATCACATATTTTCGTTTGATTATTATTCAATCAGGATCATGTTTTAGGCTGATATTATATATCTTGGCCAATCGTGTCGTGTCGCGAGGTGTACAATAATCATACCAGTTTATATTGGTAAGGTGGCACAGTACCCCCCTCCTCATCGTTATCCGCATCTTTGAGGTCCAGGTTCCATGGAAGTATGTGTGACTATCTGGAAAATTACAACTTTTTTATTTTAGTGCATCAAGGGCCTTTTTCGAAGTGCAATCGTTTTTTAGTACACCTGTAAAACCGGATTTATCTTGACCTCTCCCACACCTTCAGAAACTCACAATTTCCTTATAAAGGTTGCGAAAATATTGTTGCGTCGTCAGTTCGTAGATGCCTTGGACAGTCCACAACTTAAGATACAAATGAAGCAAGCACACCTCTCTACCATGCAGGATGCAATGGCCAGAGCTCTCAAATTTGAATCCTACGCTAAGTCCAGCACAGAAGTACCGAGGTTGGTACAGTCATCTGGTTTCAAGGCCAGAAAAGGTCAGCTTTCAGAGAAGTTTGAGGGACTTTGCTGGCACTGTAACAAACCTGGGCACAAGAGAGCCCAATGTTGGAAGCTTCAGCACAGGGGAGATGATACAGCAGGAATGGCTGCTACCCAGAAAGGCTGTTGGAACTGTGGGGAGCAAGGACATCTGAGGATCCAGTGTAAGAAAAATACCACCAATAAGTCAGCTTCGGGAAACCAGTAGTGGTTGGTGCTAAGGGACGCCCACCAACCTCCATCG